AATGAGTAAAAAGTGGGGGGGGGGGGGGTGTCTTCCTTTCCTTGATGTGGCATCCTTGTGGGGAGAGAAAACAAAGCTTACTTCTTGTCATCAATTCCTCTAAAGGAGTGTGAAATACAGTAGTAGTATCATACTGTTCTAGGTGCAACTGTTATGTTGAATAGGACCTGTTCTGCAGTGTGTTTCCTTAGGAAAAGGCCTGAAGAAAGAGAGGGCTTGACTTGATAACCCTGGCTCACCTGATACCACAGAAGACAGTATCATATCTGCTTTTAAAGTAGATGCTGAAGGAACACATTATTGACTGTACATAAGTCTCTGTTCCTCTGTATGAGGAAAGTAAATATGATGCCTTCACAGCTTCCAATGAAGCATTTACAGAAGTACAGTTTCTTCCAACCAGGAAGACAGAGTTCGTTGTTTTTTTAATAAACTTCAGAATACCTGATCCTCCTTCTCAAGTCAGTTACAGGTTTTTGGAAAAATCAGTCCAGGTTGACCTGAAGTATCCATGTAGAAAAGAGCACCCCAGTGTGTAACATTCTTACAGGCAGTTGCTGCTGTGTGACCAGTTGGTCAGCAGTGTCTTCTCCCATTACTTTTGAACACAACTTGGAGAGATCTCAGAGAATGTTTTGAACAAGTTCTGTGAAAATAGCTACCTTGGCAAAGGGCAGAGTGCCTGTCTGTATCGAGTGGAGGGAGTAAGTTCTATATAGCCTCAGCACTTGAAATATCACAGAGTGCTTATCATGGAACCACATTACAAATTCTTGTCTACAAGGTGAACTTTCTATATTTATCATCCATAGCAGTTACCACAGAATTAGCTCCTTAGTGTTTCTCAGCTGGTACAGTCAATGATACCTAGAAAGGTCTGAGGACCAACTGAACTGGTGTCTGCAATCAGGACATTACACAGCATTCTCCACTGTAAATTCTATGATGTTTAATAAGTCTTTTTATTTAAAGTTGTGATTTTAGGTATGTGTACTGCAGTATAATTTTTTAATGCCCCTTTTGATCAGTAGGATTTAATGAGATCTGGTTTTAGATTCATTTCTCATGCAACTTCTAAACTGAATTAAACAGAACTTATATTGACATTTATACGCATAAATGCTTGTCTTATATGTATAGAAAATAAAGTGTGATTCTCTTTAAGTTCATGAGGAGAAGCCCTATGTCTGGGGAGGAACAACCCCATGCACCAGCATATGCTAGGCACTATCCAGCTGGAAAGCAGCTTGGCAGAAAGATCTGGGGGTCCTGGTGGACACCAAGCTGACATGAGACAACAGTGTGCCTCTGTGGCAAGGAAAGCCAATGGTATTCTAAGCTGCACTAAATATACTGCTCCCAGCCGATTGAAGGAAGTGATCCTTCCCCTCTACTCAGTGCTGGTGAGGCCATAGTTGGAGTACTGAGTCCAGTTCAGGGCTCTCTAGTACAAGACAAACTTGATTGTAATGAAGAGAACACAACGAAGGGCCACAAAGATGTTTAAAGCACCTGACATATGAGAAAAAGCTGAGAGATCTGGGACTTTCCAGCCTGCAGAAGAGAAGGCTCAGGGGGATTTCATCAATCTATGTAAATACCTGAAGGGAAGGTACAAAGAAGACAGAGCCAGGCTCTTTTCAGTGTTGCCCAGTGACAGGACCAGAGGCAGTGGGCACAGTCTGAGACACAGGAGGTTCCCTCTGAACATAAGGAAACATTTTTTTCTTACTGTGAGGGTGATCAAGAGCTGGCACGGGTTGCCCAGGGAGTTACGGAGTCCCCAACCTTGGAGATGCTCAAAAAGCCATTTGGACATGGCCCTGGGCAACTGGCTTTAGGTGACCCTGCCTGGGGAGGGAGGTGGGACCAGATGTCCTCCACAGGTCACTTCCAACTTCAACCATTCTGTGATTCTGTAAGGGATTTGTTGTATGTAGGGTTGTGATTTTGGAGGGGATTTTCCCAGGTTTTGTAGGAAATAGTGGTGTTGGGTATGCTTGGTGCTCACCAAGGTGTCATAAAGCAACAAGTACTGTAAACTCACTCATTATTCCTTGACAGGATCCCTTGTAGTTACTAGTAGCTAAAATGGTTAAAGGTTCTTCAGGATTGTTCCATCCAGCTGGGAAGAAGAGAAGAATGGCTTTGAGGAACCTATGGTGACAGAAAATGTGATGCTGTTTCCTTTGAAGCACATGGGGTCTTTTAGAGATCAGAAAGACAATAATTATTTTCATCATAATTTCCTTGGAAAGACTTGTAGAAGTGTGACAGACAGATATCTCAGTAGATCTGATATTACAAGCTTTGCAGAAATAAGACACAAAAATCTAACTTACATTTGTGTGTGTTTAGGAGCCAGGTGAAACAGCACTTCATTTAGCAGTCCGGACTGCTGACCAAACCTCTCTCCATCTGGTTGACTTCCTTGTACAAAACTGGTATGGATTGATCCATTTTCATTAAATTATGTATGAAAAATGTGAATGTTCAAAGCTATCCGTGCAGTGCTTTGGACAGTGTTTGCTTATTGCTTACATTCTCTTTAGGTATGTTTCAAAAGAGCATTTTCAGTTGACTCTTATGCTCCTGATGAGGAGAGAGAGGGAAAGAAGTGTAGATTAAAAACATGGAAAAAGCAGTTATAAAAATAGGATGAGAGGAAAAACTGTGTAGAGCAAAAGAGATCATTGATTCGTAACACTGTGAAACAGTGCAGATGAGTAGTTCGGGTAAAGGAGAGGTGACAAAGTGAGCATTCTAAATACAGGCCACATGCAAAAAGATTGTAAGAGTAGAAAACAAGGATATGTCTTATAAAGAAGAAGCCAGATTGACTTTGATAAAGGTGTTGTAGTAGTTAATAAAGTGTATTAAAGTTACTGAGAGTCTGATCTTCTCAACTAGTAATTTTCAACATCTGGGTTATTGGCTGAGCTATTCTTTGTTGTCAAGAGCTGTGTTCACAGAAGTCTTAATGAAGACACTTTTAAAACTCGAATGATGTAGTGGTACAACACTATTTTTCATGTGTTTCATGATACAGTTAAAGATTAGATGAGATCAATTCCAGTCCACCTCTCTAGGACGCTATGAAGTGAAAGAAGCAGCAGTCACTTGCTGTGTCAGATGGTGGGTTTTGGAGAATGAGGAGAGGAGGGTGGGGGAAACAGAAGTCTTACCAGAAGTCCCTCAGCACAGGGAGTCCTTCCTGCTATTGAAACGCAGTCAGTGAATACTTGGTTCTTTTCCTCCTCCTCTCTCATACTTTATGTAGCATTGTCTATAGGGAGTGTTAGAGAGGAGGTTTGGTCTTCTGGTAACAGCACAGACTTGGAATCTATGTTCCTGACACCATCTCTTGGACTATGTGGACTAGCTGTGTAACGTTCACTTTAACTTTATTCTACCACTACTCACTCATGTTAAATGGAGTACTGACTATTGAAGGAGTGTTTTTAAAGTAAAAAATAAAATACAGTAAAAAAAAAAAAAGCTATTAATATTTACAAGCTGAGATCATAATTTGAAAAATGTTTTAGAAGCCTAAATTGTTATTTTTAGTAATATTAAAGGATCTGTTATTTTGGATTATTATTTTAAATTATTTTGTCTGAAGAAACTATGAAGCTTTATAACATCAGTGACTGTAGTGACAGGACAAGGGGTAATGGGTTCGAACTTAAATAGTGGAAGTTCACATTAGATATAAGGAAGTTCTTTACTGTGAGGGTGCTGAGGCACTGGAATGGGTTGTCCAAAGAAGTGGTAAATGGTCCATCCCTGGCAGTGCTCAAGGCCAGGTTGGACAGAGCCTTGGGAGCCATGGTCTAGGGTGAGGTGTCCCTGTCCATGGCAGGGGGGTTGGAACTGGATGATCTTAAGGTCCTTTCCAATCCTAACTATTCTATGATTCTATGATTCTATAACTATCATCCTTTATGTGTTTTTGTCAGCTGTCTGTAATTTTGTCTCAATCTCAAATTTAAGAGCATCTTTACATCCATATGGGCTCTGCACTTATTGTTCAATGTGGGTAATACTGAGTGGAAGTAAAACTGTCATTTTCTGAGCTTTTCATTTTTATAAATGTATTAAATTGATCCCAGTATGTCATAACTTTTTTCAAGAAACCTTGTTTCAGAAATTGAAAACTGAAGGAGAGAACAGTTTTTAAAAGCCCTGTGAACACCCTTTGCACAGCTTGTTTAACTCAGTGTGTATCCTTACATTCCTTCTTACGACACTCTTATGCATCCTCACAGCCACCTTCTTTGTAGTTCCTTGAATGTGTGGGACTTAGTAACTTATTCTAGCTGTATCAGAATGATTTTTCAGGTATTTTTTATTGGGCTAAGTTAGCATGTTTGAAAAAGAAATGCCAGTGAATTGGCAGGTGGAAAACAACAGGCATGACCTTCCAAAGGATTAGGTTTGAATCTCCAAGTTTCAGGGTTTTTTGTTTGGTTTTTGAATGAACACCTGTAGATGCTTAGTCCTTGTCAACCACAGCTCAGGAATTTCCAGTGTGCTTGGAACTGTTCTTACTAGTCTTTGAAAGTAATGTTTAACTTGAAAAATATTTCTTTCTCTTCCTAATTCATATTTTCCCCATAAAGTATTTATGCATTTATCACTGCTAGGGATGCTTGCTCTGAAACAAACAGCACAGCACACTAGACTTCTCTTGATTCTTTCTTCTTTTGTGTTTAGTGGAAACCTGGATAAGCAAACAGCGCTGGGCAATACAGTTCTACACTACTGCAGTATGTATAATAAGCCTGAGTGTTTGAAATTGCTTTTGAGGGGGAAGCCAACTATTGATGTAGGTAAGTTCATTATCTAAAGCTAGGAAATAAAGATTAACGTTTCTTTCTGTTATTTTAACCACTTCTGTATTAGGAAGATGACTTTACCACCACCAAGCCTAAAGGAAGTGTTCAGTTAAGAAATGAAACTTAAATTCTTAGAAGATAATAGTGGCAAACATTTTCTCATATAAAATACTAATGGTAAAGCCTGGTTTTCCTGATACGTAGTTTTCTGATGCATCGTTAACAGCCTGGAATTTAAGTTTATTGTTTGTAGTGTAAAATTCATCTATTACTTGTATGTTACAATGCTTCGAATGGCTGCTCACATTAGCTGCACTTCAGACATATTTGGGCTTTCTGTACACAACAGTTAATTTGTCTTTTAATATTAATGTTGTTGGCATTGTGGCTTCACCCAGCATGCCCCAGCCACCACTGCAGGTGATTAGGGAAGGGATTAGCTTTCTCAGCTGCCTCCCTCCCTCTGTTTGCAATCCACGTGTGTGCAGTAGGTATAATACTTGCTAAATCAGTCCATTTTTCATCATGGCTTAGCAAAAGTTTAATTAAGAATAAAATCTCTGTAAACTGTTTGCTTACACTTGGGATAATCTTTTGTTTACTAGATGCTCTCCTTTCCCTGCCATATTTTGAGTGAAAAAGGTATTCCATGAATCCTGGCTCAGGCTAAGTTTCATCAGCATGTGTATAAAACATTTGCACTTTATCAGTTCTTGGTATAGGAGGAAGTTTTTATGAACAGTTGGTGCAAACTGAAGAGTGTGAACTTTTATTTCTCCCTTTTCCCCCGTTGCCATCATTTTCCTTCACTGCCCTCTAAAAAGCTGTTGCATAAATTTAAGTTCATAGTTGAGTGGCAGAAGTCATTGGTTTACTTGGTCTTTTTATACATCCTTAGAATATGTTCTAATGTTATCATAAGTCAAAGAATTCTTTAGCAGATATATCTATCCCTCATTAAGAAAATGCAAAAGCTATCTGCACAAGCTTAGGCATGCCTATTGGTCCTTCCATTGAACTCTCTCCTAGGTAGATGCCAAAGAACATTCATATCTTTTTGATTTCTATTTTTTGTTGGGGATTGGTTTGTTTGGTTTGTTTTTATGCTCTCACTTAGGAACTTCGTATCTTCTGTAGGCCTTGAAACATCAGGTTTATACGTAAAGATTGAAAGTTTGGAATTAGTCTCTTAAGCTCATCTGTGCGCTCACTTCAGTTAAGGAATACTCTATTTTCATGCCTTCTCATATTAAACCATCTTGGATCTTTCCACAGGCAGCCCTCCTTATAGGAATCTTAATTCTTTCAAATTCATAGACTTTTCTAGATGACTGCTTTGTATTTTCTACAATTCATGAGTAGCATCCTGTATGTTATATTACAGATAGGCATATTTGCTTATGAGACTTCAGTTTGACCGTTTTCAGTTCCAATCACAGAAATGCTTTACAATCCAGATGCGATGAGGAGCATACTCTGTTCCAGCTCCATGGCATTTACTGTATACTATAAGACTAAATTTTGCCTAAGGTTTGTCCACATCAGGATGGGATGTGGGGGTTGATCTTTTCTTGAGACTTGCTACTGAGTATCTAGGAAGGATCCCATTAGATGTTGTGCCAGAGGACCTTCCAGATTGCTCAGATACCACCTTCTTTCTGATCAGGCCTTATTTGAAAAGGTAAACCATTTTATAGCTTTATAAAGAGGAAATTGCTAGGAAGTTTTAAAATTATTCTTGTCCAAATGTCATCTTAGAATAGGATTTCTGTCTTCAAATTCAGGCTTCAAACCACTACATATTAATCAAAGGTGCTTGTATCAACTTTTACTTTTTTTTTAATCTTAGAATAGCATTCTTTTATAAGCTGTTAAGGCTTGCTTTTCCTGCTTATCCATGTAAGTGTTTTCCCAGTAAAAGAGTTGAGTGGAGAATGACTAAATTTCTTTATATCCTCTGCTAGGATGGTTAGGAGGGATTTGGGAAGTGTCCCAGCAGATGCTGCTGTTCAGAAAGAACCTGATGATACATGAAATACATGAGCACTTAGAGTGGAATCTTAAAGAGCTGCAGCTGCTATAGAGTAAATAGACGTTTTTGATCACTTTTAGAAGTTACTCTGCTAAAAATAATGAAACTTATTGAATTGAGTCTTTAATCATCTCTAAGAGCCGCTCTCTTGTTTTATTGTCAATTTTGTAGTCAACCAAGCTGGAGAGACTGCTCTGGACACCGCAAAAAGAGTGAAAGCTGTCCAGTGTGAGGAACTGGTAAGAACTGGAGTTGGGGGGGAAAAAGGGGTGGGGAAGAAGGATGAGGGATGTTTGTATGTTCAAAGATGGCAATGCTATCTTGAGTAGATCCCACCGTGTCTCAAACTCTATCGCTGCGAGCTGGATGTATGCTAGGATGTAGACCCTACCATGGATGAGTATTTTCTAACTTCAAAACACAACAGTCGTTTTCTTTGTAAGAGTGTAAGTACAAGATACTACTTGTGTTGGAAGTACTTAGTTATTTTAACCAGACCTTAAATAATTGAGGGTCAGGCTGTCACAAAACCAAGAAGTTGAGGCTAAATGAATCTTACCATTAAAACTCACCTAAAGCTCCACCAACATTAAGTACAGATTCGGGGATTCATCACTACACTGCTGACTCTTAAACTTTATGGCATATGATCCAAAATGTGCAATCACTCACCTAAAAAGGAAGGGTTCAACCTCGATTAGTTCGCTTGGACAGTGTCCTGTCCCCCAGGAGCCAACACTGCTCCAAGGAGGACCGACTCCAAGTGGCTGCCCAAGGAGCTCCATTGCTGCCCTGGTCAGATGTGAGCTGTGGTCAGATATAGTCATGTACCCCCATGGGCTCAGGACCCAACTTCCTGTGCCTGCAACTGCTGACCTCCACCATGTGTGTGTGACAAGAGCTGAGCTCTCCTGAGATCTGTCTGTGGGGGGAAGCTTTGGTCAGAGCTTGGTCAGGGCTTTTGTCAGGCCTGGGAGTACCCAACACACAGGTATTTGAATACCAGTCAGTGCAGCATTCTAGGATATTTGGGCTTCATCACCTCAAAAGTTCTTAGAGACATTTCTATCAGGAGTACAGAACACCCCCTGAAATTTGAAATCTGTTAAGACCTTTTAGATCCTGTAGATCCTTTAGGTCTGGATCTTTCTTTGACTTTTCCTGCTTGGGCTTTTTCCAGATGACTTAAGAGGGCAGATAGTTCAGAGACGGTGAAAGTCATCTTACAAGCAGGATTGAAATAACTTGAAATTAAAACTGCCTCACAGGTGGTAGAGAAAGAAGCAAAAGTGTAATGTCTGAAAGTTAGGGTATCAAAAAATGTAGAACAGCTTCTGTTGGACTTTGTCCCTTTACTGAACATGATGGGAGCAAAAACATTCTGGAATTTTAAGAATATTTAAGGAATGTTAACAGATGCCACTCAAAAAAACTGTTGGCATTTAAGAACTAAAGGTGTTAAAGGATTTTCTCAGGTACTCTTCTGAAGCAGTTAGCCAAGAATATGGATTCTACATCAGACTAACGAGCTTGTTTGTTCTTAGCCCTCTAAAGTGCCTCTCACCAGCATGCATTCAGTAGGCAAGTGATTTTAAGTACTGTCAAGGGATTAAAAAATCTAAGCAGTCTAAATGATTTCACATTCAAGACAGAACCAGAAGAATTTACAAAACAGCTGTCACTTGCTGCTTAATTCTGTTTATCAGAACTGTTTAGCTTCATTTTGATGAATCAAGGAGGGTATCTGCTTCTGTTCTGCAGCTGGTAATTTTAATACCTTTCCTCTTAAAATTGAAAGTTGTTGTCATGTATTAATTAATTATTGCAAAATCAAGAGAGCTTGTCCTCCAGAAATCATAATAATTTTCCATATTTCTGGGGATGCAAGTCAACATTTTGCTATGGTTGATGAGGTGGTATTCCCACTACCTTCTCAATTACTCCCATATCTGCTGTGTAAGTGAGTGCACTGTGTTTCCGGTCTTCTGACTGCTTCTACTGTTGACAGTGTTTCAGTCAGCTGAAAACCAGATCATCCATAAAACACACAATTGCTATGGATTGCTTTCTTCTTTACAGTATGTATTTAATAGAGTAACATCTGCTGTTACTGTGGACTGACTGATTATGTTCTGGAACAAACAAAAACAAGTGGATGTGATCAGTGAGCTTATCTAGCAGCTAATCATTTTGATTATTGTAATCAGAATTCTGGGAATACCTCACTGATTATAAGAAGGACATGGAGCTGTTGGAGCAAGTCCAGAGGGCCATGGGGATGATAAGGGGGCTTCAGCACCTCCCACTTGAAAACAGGTTGAGAAAATCAGGGCTGTTCAGCCTGGAGAAGAGAAGCTGTGTGGAGACCTCAGAGCAGCTTCCAGCGTCTGAAGGAGACCTGTAAGGGTGCTGGGGAGGGACTCTTCGTCAGGGGCTGTAGCAGTAGGACAAGGGATGATGGGTTTAAACTGAAACAGGGGAAGTTCAGGTTGTATATGAGGAAGAAGTTCTTTACAGTGAGGGTGGTGAGGCGCTGGAATGGGTTACCCAAAGAAGTGGTAAATGCTCCATCCCTGGCGCTGTGCAAGGTCAGGTTGGACAAAGCTCTGGGCAGTCTGGTCTAGTGTGAGGCGTCCCTGCCCATGGCAGGGTGTTGGAACTAGTAAAGTCCTTTCCAACCCAAACCAATCTATGATGCTTTGATTATTTCAGTTAACTATGATAGAGCATTTTCTCTTTTTTTTTTCTTTTTTTCCCATTTTTTTAAGAGAAAAATTATTCCTGCATTTTACTCAAAAGTGGCAATGAGATAAGGTTAAGAGTAAAAAAAGTCATATGAGTGATCATATTGGTTACCATGGGCAATAAAAAACCTACAAAATAAATATCTAGCTGCTTGCAGTACAGTAGATGTACAAAGCTAATTTCTTTTGCATAGCTGCAGTCTTGATTGTGCAATTCAATTTCAACACAAGTGAATTCATGAATACCTATATAACAGATGGAAAATCATTTCTTCCAAATTTTATTTCAGGAAGATGATTAAAGGCTCTCCTGAATCAACCAGTACCAAACAGATGACATTTCAAAGATCACAGAATCGTAGACATAATAATGGGAAATCTAAGTATTAAGAAAGAAAATTTATCTCCTCAGAATAACCAGGAACTGCAGTTTTCTGGGGTTTGCTGATCATTGAAGTAGTGGGTTTTTAAAGAATCTGAATACATGATTTGAAATGGCAAAGTAGAGGAATTTTGTGCTTAAGACACACTGGGATCATCCACTGAGAGGGAGGGAAATATTAAACTAAAAGGTAAATACCTTTTATTTCGATTCCAACACAAGGACTGTGACTGTGGAGGGATAATAGCTGTATGTACCAGAACTTATCAATACGGTCTGCCTTCCCTTTCGAGGGCTCCAGGTGCATTTCTGCTTTTGTGCATATACCTTCTCTTCATTTCATCTTGTCAAACACCTATCAAACTTGGCAACTTTTACCTATTTTGAGAAAATCTTCTCTTTTACCTTTTGGCTGGTTTTCTATACCTCACATAAATGAAGGATGTTTGTGTGGTTTGCCCTGAAGTTGTTTCTTTTTATCGACTGGAAAGCTTTCCAACTTCTAAATATTTCAGCTTATTGTTTGCTGGTACAAAACTTCATTGACACCAAAGGAACAGCAAATATTTTAACATTTATGTTATTTCTTTCAGCTTTCGCAGGCCAAGGCAGGAAAGTTAAACCCACACGTCCACGTGGAGTACGAATGGAACCTTCGGCAGGAAGAAATTGATGAAAGTGATGATGACTTAGATGATAAAGTAAGCAGGAATTACTGATAAGCTTTGCACAAAACCTGACAATTTCTGTTCTGTGGACATGAATGGAAATTAGAGACCCACTTTAACATTTTTTTTCTTACAGATTTTATTGGGGGGGGCAGGGAGGGAGCTAGTTTTGAGGCTCATATTAAAGATTGCCAAAGTGCTTTTTGATTAGACTTTATCAGTCTGGTTATTATGGACTTCAGTTGCAGAGGTTTAGCTTTGACAAGACATACAATTTAATCTAAATCAGTAAATGTAGATTACTTTGCCATTTTATCCCCTTCTAAATTGCAGGTTGTTAATTTTTAGCTGGAGGAAATCCAAAGCTTACATATTTATGTTTTCCGTAAATTAATAAACCCCAGCTGTTGAATAAATAGCTTTATTTTTCAAAAAACATGCTGTGTACTTTATTTCTGATTAAAAAAAGTAACAGAAAGACAAAACTTGAGGGCACAGGATAATTGCCATCCCAGAATGTGTGAAAACTTAGCCTCAGTGCCCTACTTTAGCAAGTCAGTTAATTACTCTGTGCTCTGTTTCTGTAATAAATGCGAATACACCTCTCCTATTTCTCTATATCTCTATAGACACCTCTATGTCTCTGGGTGCTTGTGGAAAGGAAATGTGGTCAACTTTTCATTTTCTGTGACACTTGGGACTGAAACATTCAGAAACCAAAATGATTTACATGTCCTCAAGGACAGGAGAGAACAAAATGATTATCTGTGCAAGGAGCCTCAGGAGGATGACAAATGCTGTATGGGAGATAATAGCCTGAACCAGAGCTGCAGTAAAACAGATCATGCTCCATATACAGCCATTAACATGCAGCAGTCAAAAATTGCTGTGTAAAATTTCTTCAAAGAGCAATTAGATACGTTTAGAAGAGATGTATCACTGAATGTATTGCTGGTTCAGTCAACAGATAAATCTGCTGTGCCAAAAGAGCTTATTTATTTTTAATGTGCATCAGCGGGATAATATGCTTGATCTATACTTGATAGCTGTCTGGTCTGAGTAAAGAACTATTTGAGCTGAAAATTACTCTTATACTTTAAAAACTTTACTAGGCTTTTACTAGTATATTATTTATTACATTATTGTGTATCTTCTGCTTTAAGGATAAATCTAACTTTGTGCAGGTGATGATGTGTTGATGCTACAATCTTTATTTTTCAGTTAGAGGAGAGAACCAGGTGGATCACTAACAGGAGGAATATGGGCTTATTGGTCAGAAATTATGCTCATGTTCACTTGAATATGCTGTAAACTTTTCTCCCCATCATGTTAACTATATTTAGTGGTTACAGCTGTATAATGCATTCATTTTTCTATTCACAGCCTAGTCCTATAAAAAAGGAAAGATCTCCAAGACCCCAAAGTTTCTGTCACTCTTCAAGCATTTCTCCTCAAGAGAAAATGACTCATCCTGCATTTAGCACTCCCAGAGACAAGCAAAGACTCTCCTATGGAGCTTTTACCAATCAGATCTTCGCCTCTACAAGCACAGATTCACCCACCTCTCCAACTGCCGACGCTCCTCCTCTTCCTCCTAGAAATGCTGGCAAAGGTAAGTCTGTCTCCAAACTGCACTTGCAAGCAGTAATTTTTCCACACTTGTCCTTCTTTTAGCCAGAGACATGACAGAGTTTCAAGATGTAGCATAGTTTTTTCTTATTACGTTGGTGCAGTAATATGATAAAAAGCATGTTCAGAACTTAAAGTGCCCCCTTCCCTTTACTTTTTAATGGTCTCATAACTGTACAAGAATGGGTGAAAAAATAAAGTCATTCTGTTAAATAAAATCTGGTTTATTTTCTGTAGAACTTTTTTTCATATTTATGAGAAGCATTTATAAGCATTTACAGTATTCACAGTCACAAAAATACGAGTGTTCCAGAAAAGGCTGCTGGTGTATAGTGCTATAGGGATGTGATGTGCAGTGTCTGGCAGAGGGGGTGAAGACTTTGGAGTAGAGGAGGTGCAAGAAGGCTCCCTTTCCTTGCAGTCAGACTGTGGGGATAAAGGCAAACACCAGCATGACCTGTGAAGTACTGAGCAGTTTGGTACTGAAGTTCCTTCCCTCTCAGTGCATCAATGCTCTCCTCTTTCACTTTGGTTGGTACTAGAGGGATGCAAAGAAGGGCAGAAAAAAATCCTAAATCTATTGTCAGATCATTAACAAGTCACTTAGGCACTGAAGATCTAAACTAAACATCACCCATTCTTCCCTGAGTGAAACAACCATTTTGCTCTTGCAGAATCATCCTTAAGGAAGGTTTGTGCTACAGTTCAAGCAATCTACATGTAGCTGAAATGAATGGGATGCTTTTTCTTCTTAGTAGTGACACTCTTGGTAGCCCTTGAAAAGGAAGAAAACTTACTTGCTGTTGAGGCTTAGTCTTGCAGTAAGTGGATGGTGATTCTTTGACCATAAACTTCAAGTTTAGAGGATGTGTTTATGAAAAAACCCTGTTACTTTAATTTGTACTAATCAACGTTTTAGAACAAACAAAAAACCCCTTTTCATTTTTTCACCTTTTTTTCATGTATTTAATTTAAAAATAGCCAAACTGTTTTTTTACCATAGACTTGTTAGAAAACTTTAGTTGTAAAGGCTACAGCATCGTTCAAGGCTTCAGCAGTTACTACTATAACTTTGTATTTCATTTCCCCAACTGGTAGTTAACTTTGTTTTAAAATGAAGAAGTGCTTTCACTCAAATGTGAGAAATGGACAGAATGGAGTGTGTTGGCATCAGCTGTCTGCTTTTAGATGCTGTGCTTAAGAACTACTATTCCACCATCAGTCTTTGTCATGTACTGGCAACTTTCAAATTAATCCTTCGGTGCTCTTTGTTAAACAGGTTTGTTTTCCATTAGGAGGCAAAGGGATTTTGCCAGGGTATGCATTTTTTAAATGAGATTTCGTAACCCACATTTCTTTATATCACTTTCACTGGGGACTCATTTACATCCCTTGTAACTTTATGATGTTGACCTTCCTATTGGCATTACAGTATTCTGACTTTTTCCTTCCTCCCCATTATCTTTTTCATGTGCTCTAACAGTCTGCTACTGATTGTCCATTGTCAGACACAGTATACTGCCTTAGGTGTTGCTTCAGTCTGACCTAGGATAACTTTTTTCTTGTAATAAAGTTGCAAGACTTGGGAACTAATCACAAATCCCATTTTGATAAGAAGGTTATGAGGTTTGACATGGATCTGTCTGTACGCTGCTTAGTATGTTGCAGCTTTCAATGGATTATAATGAACTTTATTTCTTTGTCATTGTATAATGTAGCTCTCATATGGACTTATCCAGACAATTGCCTTTTTCTCCAGGAAGGGGAATATTTACATGCTTATTTCATGTTAAGTATGTATTCAAGTTTTAGAAATGTTAGGTATTTTCCTAGGTGTTCCTGCAAACTCCTGGACCCAACACCAAACCTACTTGGAAAGAAATGAAGCATTGAATTCTTGTGTGTTTTCATATCAAGAATTACACAAAGGAAATCCTTATTCATATTACAACAAAACAATATGATATTATTACAAAATAGAGAGAACTGTTGCCTTCTGAAGTAACATTAACTGCTTCGTCAGAGTGGAAAATGCCAGATTCACACTGCAAGACTGAGAGGTTGAATGTCACCAGGCTTCTCTGCTTCAAATATGCCAAAATTTGACAGTCTGAGAGTGATACTGGGTTCTTGGTTGATTTTTATTTGATAATATTGTAAAGTATTTAATCACTTTTAGAAGTTTCCATTCAATAGATGCCTGTGTTACAGGAATAATTTAAGACTCAAAAGGACAGGGGAACAAAGTGACATGAATAGAACAATTCATCAGTGTGGAAAAGTCACTCTAGACACATCATTGCAGATGTACTTACGCTTCACTGTAGAGTGTGCTACACCTTGTTATCTCCCTCACTTCCAGCTCCTAAACAGGTTGTTTAAAAGAAGCAGAGAATCTCTACTCCCATAAGACACTGGTGATGTATCTTCATTTTGCAACAGTCTGACTTAATTTTATTTCTGCAGGAAAAAATAATTCCTAAAGGATTATCTGCGCCTTTGAGATTAGTAGTAATAGAGTATATCCCTTACATCAAAGTCTTACATGCAAGCTTACTTACCAAATCCTTTCTTTTGTTCATTTTAATAGCTACCTGTTTGATTTAAGATCACATGAAAACATAGTATTACATTTTGCATTAAGTTCCCTGAATATCAAGAGTAAGAAGAGCATTGAATCTATAATTAAGTTTAAACTTACCTTCTGTCCCCAAATACAATCTGATCTTTGTCCTTCTCTGCTGTGAAGCCCCAGCAGATACCATGGGACCCTGCTAGAACATGGAGACAGTCTGTAGGGAGTGAGTAGCTAGTGGGATCTGTATTTGAGAAGGAGGCAGAGGATTTTAAAGTTCCATGGCTTTTATCCTTTGAGGCATGCAGATAAACTCTTTTCCGAACCACACTGTATATTTAAACAAAACCACCTCGCTTTAGCCCTCTGTAAGCTGGCTTCATTCACCAGGGAAGTTCCTTTGTAGCCAGGTTCCATGGTGTTTGCTGAGATGCCACAGTGGGCTGGGAGCCAGCAAGGCTGAACTCTGTGCTGGGGAGAGAAGGTAAGTTTAAAACAATTTATGTAACACCCGTCAAACTCTTGTCCATGGCCTTCAGTGGATTGGTGTGTAAAATTAGTTTGATTCATCATTGTATAGGTGCAATTGTTGGAGAATGTGTATATAGAGATCCCTAAAATGCTGGAATGTTAGTGTATTTTACTGTAAACAAGCTCAGATGTGGGTACATCTTGCTTCTTGCTATCTTTGCTATGGATTTACTTAATCCAAATGGAACAAAGAGTACAGAACGAGCTCAGTAGCTGCATAAGCCAGCTGCTGTTTGCCTTCTCCAGTAGTTTATCTAAGCTTATTCAGGTTCAACTTATTATCAGTCCAGTCCTTAGTCTGTAGCGTTCTAAAAATCAGCAATCTTTCCAGCTTACACCTGCATTATGGCTCGAGACATCTAGCAGGTCTTCTATCTGTTGTTATACAAAAAGCTTTAAAAACCTCCAAATACCAATATCAAAGTGGTTGCATAACTCAACACAGTAGCAAAATAAACTTGCACAACCCTACTTGCAAATCCAATGTAAAGGCAATGTTGCTTCTAGTTTTGTAGAAGTTAGGCAGTTTAAGCCAGGTTCCCTTAATTTTAGCTGAAAGCTAATTAATTTGCAATGGTTCTGCCTATTCCCTTGTACAGGATGAACGTGGAGGTCAAGGATCAGTTCTATGTCATGAAGTGAAGCTTGGATACTTACAAGTTTACATGTTTTACACTCTCTTTCACAGCTCCGATGTTAGGTACATAAGCCCAAAGGCACTTGTGTTTCCAGTCCACTACCACTGCAGACACCACATCGTATAATGTGCTTCTCACTGATCAGACTCAGTCTCTAACCAGATTTGCTTATTTGCATTTACTAGTAACTACTAGAAGCTGCCTGACTGCATTGCTCACAGGATTAGCAATCTTCTCAAGTCCACTGAATGACTTTGTTCGTGTACCAACGTTGTCATTTAGCTTCGGTGGTTTGTCACTGTGTCTGTATCAAGGCACTACCTGGAGAGCAGTCATGCAGGTCTCCTTTTCTGTTTTGTTGCACTAAACAAACCAAGCATATTTCACCTTTTCTGACAGAAGAGTATGTTCATTCTTCTGTCATTCAAGTCCTGTCCTTTCATCATACAGCCTTTCTCTGTAAAGGCTGTTTAAATCAGCTTTCTGAAATACAAGTGACTGGAAGTATAGGGACAGCATTAAAACCTTGCTTTTTCTGCTGGAAACACTACATCAAAACTTCCTTTGTATTTATTTTTGTCATTATTCCATCATATTACAGCATATCAGGCATTTCACAATCTCTACTACCGTTTTCAGTTGGAGTCCTTAATTTATAGCACAAATGCTTTCTTAATGCAGAATTCTAACATTATCCACAGTACTGTTGTATTTAATCTCATTTTCATTACCTTGGCCTTTAAGGTTGTCCAGTTTCTTCTGGTTTATATTAGTGCATAAACCCAAAATACAACATTCTTTATATAAAGTCTGGTGCTTTTTTTTTTTTAACAGGACATTTTTTAGCCTTTTATTGTAGAATATACTGCAAATGCTGATGTTGAATCAATGTATATTTTTATTCAGAGTGATCATGATGATTTTTTCTTTATGATCTTCTTTTCAGTACCGAAAATGTGCTACAAAGTAAGACAAACTGTAGAAGGCTTTTCGTAATATTTGTGCAAAGATATAACTCATAAGAACTTTAAAAATAAGAATAACAACACTTGTTAATGAAAATTCTACTTTTAATATAAACTTACTTTCCTTTGCAGTACCTGTTCTGCCATTAACTGGAATACTGGTTCTTCCATATCTCTCATTAAGTGGTAAAAAAATACAAATGTGAGGTTTTTTACACCCTGAACCCACCATTTCTTGAGTGGATGGTAACAGCTTTGCATGGTTTCACAAGTACACAAATTAATAGGTCCTATACTAACTGCACAACAGCTGAAGGGCAATGCACTATCAGTGGTAGAGCTTTTCCAGTTACTTATCTTAGTACAATAAATTTGAGATTATTTGGTCTGTCTACACATGAAAGTGTGATCCTTGTAATATGAAGAAGTGGTAAGATGGCAACAGCTTGCACTGAAAGCAACTGCTCCCACCTGACTGAAGAGAGCCCAATGAAAGCACAATTTAAACAGTCTAGGTGTTTTTCCTGGGTTTTGTGGGTTTTTTTTCTTTTTCCTTGTGTAAAGAAAGTGTTCTCATGAAATACAAACTTCACGACTACGTGGGAAATCATCATTAAGATGACTATGCAGAAGAAATGGTTGGCTTACATGCTACCTGGTTAGAATTACAAAATATCTTTGATCTAGAAAAATAACTGTTCTGGTGATTGCTTAAAAATACCCAGCTAAACCTTGTGTAATTAAACTATCACGTAAGAATTGTCTTGAGATTCTGTTTACGCATACATATGTGTATATTGCCAAGGCAAGCAGCTCTGGTGCTGGCAGGATCAGCAGTAGAGAGCTCTGGTGTGTGGTGCACAGGGTGGTTTGCTGAACGAGGGGAGACCCAGCAGGAGGCAAGGGATGGGATCCATGTGGCAGCAAAGACACGAGGGTTATTGATGTGTCAGAAACCATGGAAGGACCTAAGAGTGGTCCTGTAGGAACTGGAGCTTCTCCCGCACAAAAGGTGGTGGGATCAGTAGCCCAACTGAAGTGCATCTCCACCAATGCACACAGTGGAGGCAACAAACGGGAGGAGCTGGCAGACGTCGTGCAGCAGCAGAACTATGACACAGCTGCAGTGGTGGGATGACTCGCACAACTGGAGTGCTGCAATGGATGGCTATAAACTGTTCAGAAGGGATAGGCAAGGAAGAAGAGGTGGTGGGGTAGCCCTGTGTGTTACAGAGTGTTTTGCTTGTCTAGAGTTTGATGGTGGTGATGAGGCCCCCAGTGACATGGTTTAATGGTGGCCGTCCAGTCCTGGGGTAACGGTTGGACTTGATGATCTTAAAGTTCTTTTCCAACCTAGTTGATTCTATAACACAAAGTATTTCATAATAAATTTAAGGTGCTTTGTACATCATCATTAGATCTGTGTATTGTTTCAGCAGTTGTTTCCAAAAGCTGATTTTAGATTCCAGAACATTTCCCATGTTTGCTTTATTCAAAGTGTGATATGACTTCACACCTCTTTATGAAAAGATATTTTGAAGTTTTCCTTTATTTTCTGTTTACTGAAAGGAAGTTATTTTGTATTTCAGGCATCTAATTGTTAGTGTATGACTTCTAAATTTATAATGATTTCTTCTGTGAAATTAATGTAGGGACAAATGGTAGGAGTCTGACAAATGCATTAGTTTTAATGCTTTAACACCTTTTCCCTAGAACTGTTTTATGCCATAGGAACTTTTGAAAGCTATGAAGTGCTAATGTTTTTCAACTCCTCTGTGATGTCTGGAGATACACTACCAGTGTGAAATATAAAATAAATATCCATATAACCACCTTCAAAGAATTTTATCCTACTAAATTTTAGGGTTTTAGAGAAGGATTCTACATTTTATTGGCAATAAAAAGGAAACATTCCACTTCATGCCTGGGGTTTTATGTTTGCGATAAGCACACAATCCTGTTTCACTGCATTTCCTCCCCTTTCTGTCCTTTGTGTCACTTGTGGTGGGGCTGGAGACCGTGTTGGCACTGAGCGGCCGGGCTGCAGTGCAGTACTAAGAGCAGCACAGCAGGTGGTGGTAGGACCGAGCCTCCGAGGTGTTGGACATTGCCCCTTGCAGGCAGTGTGCAGCGGGATGTCGGAGAGAAATACTGACCTTCTGTGTAGGTTTTCGACATGCTTTAAAAATAATGTTACTGTTCACACTGGATGCTGAATTCTCCTTTCCCCCTCGCTACTCCTACATTATGCTCTGAGTTACTACAGTTTCCAGAACAACCTTTGATTCACATATATTTAAGCCAACTGAAGAATTTATAACTGATCTATGGGATCATCTGTCAAACCTTAGCCTGAGAGAATTTTTCTTCTTTTTGCTGGCAGAAACGTTTCAATGCATGGTTTAAATTAGCTTCCTTTCTTAGAGCTCAAGGAAGACATGAAAACGAGAAGGGATGCAAATTGGGGAACAACCACTAATTTGCACTAACATTTGACTTTTTGTCAGTTAATGGTTTTGTAAAGTTGAGAGTAAGTTGAGAGGAAGAATCCCATAATATATAGTTTGTTTTACGAGGGTAAGCAATTAATGGAAAGCGAGGTCCAACATACCTGCTGGGGTTGTGGTTGAGAGATTCTCCTGAGCAGCAAAAGGCCTTCCAGACTAGAATCTGGAGAACAGATTGAATCATTAGCTCAGTATAGGCAGTTTTATTAATCTTTTCTTTGGGGTTTAGAAGAAAGAGGGAGGTCACCCACTGAAAAGACCTGGCAAATATACACATGCTTGTAGGATAATTGAAGTTACTTTTTCAATGTTTAGTGCTTCACCTAAGGAATTTTAACAAAGGTTATTTTTCACTGACTCTAGTACTTTTATGCTGCATAGTAATTTGGGAAGGAATGCAGACTTCGGTTATTTTCAGTCTATCTATAGAGAGTGGTAATAAATATTTCTGAAGAGGCAGCTCTAGGTCTGTGTGCAGGTCAGGCTATATCCTGATTAACAAAACGAAGATTTTTGTCTCAAACACTGTTCCAACAGGTTTTTAAGTAATAGGCAATTTGGTTCTATAGTGCTACAAAACACGCGACGGCAGACTTGAAATTTCAGGTATAACTAAACTTTGCTTTTAAATCAATGATCTGCATTTATCCATAGCCTGTGATTGCAAAGCTCTCTTACCTGCAAATGTAATTGCAAGATCATGACTGCAGGGGAGTGTTATTTGTTGGTTAGATTAAAAACAAACAGAAAAACACCTTAGAGCTGTTCTAACCTAACGCAGACTAATTGGCATAAGTGTTACAAGTCATTTCTTGTGGTGGCAACAGGCACTGACTGGAGCAGTTGTCCCCTCACTGCATGTTTGCTCCCTGCACTGCCTGCTTCCTTGAGCTGCTCACTAAAGACACTTTTGGAGGGGAATGGTGAAGTTGATCAGGGAAAATTGTTGCCTTCTCTCTAGGTTTTGTCTTTTAACCTGTGTTTACATCCTGTAAAACGTGTGTTGTGTTGAATAACATTTGTGCCAACGTTGATGCAGGAGGAAATAAGAGTGTTTAAGGGGAGGGGTGACTGCATAAGCTCTATAAGCAATGCTGCCAGTAAATAGCCAATTTCAGCCTCAGAAAGGGCTTTGCTGGTGTTTATTTTCTGTACACTGCACAAAACAGTTTTCATTGCTCTAAGAATGCATAATCCCATTAATTTAAGCCACATAAAAAAAAAAAAAAAGAAAATAAGTATAGAAAAATGTGTGAAGCTTACAATCAATTTTCAAAATGCAAGGAAAATTCATAGGTACTTTTCTGTTCCCTGCATCCCCCCCCCCAGTTTATTAAAGAAATTTTTTGGGGATGCACTGGGTGGGGAAAAATGTCCATTAATTTAACCCAAAAAAAAAAAAAAAAAAGAAAATAAGTATAGAAAAATGTGTGAAGCTTACAATCAATTTTCAAAATGCAAGGAAAATTCATAGGTACTTTTCTGTTCCCTGCATCCCCCCCCCAGTTTATTAACAGAATTCTTATGGGATGCACTGGGTGGGAAAAAATGTCCCCACATGCTAGAACATGTAGAAAGCTATTTCTTTCTGTTCCAAATTAACAGTAGCTTTAACCCCACATGCTCAATATTACTTAATTTTAGGATCTCATGCCTTTTTTTTATTTATGCCTAAAATTAGGAACCCTGGTCTGATTAATCCTGTATTTTTAAATATAAGTACACGTGTCATTCTATTGTCAAGTTGCTTATATTCCCACAGCTGAGATGGTTAAAAGTGTGGTGAACGTGTCGTTTAATCTAAACAGTGTTCTGGCATGGCTTGTCTTTTCATTTGAGTCCTTTGCTGCACTTTGCTGTGGGTCTGACTGTGAATTTTTCAGTGCTGCTTTGACGTTTATGCACATGTATTTGTAAGAAGGTTGTTTGTTATTTTGCAGGCCCACCTTCAACCCTCCCTCTAAGCACTCAAACCTCTAGTGGCAGCGCCTCTCACCTCCCCCACCCCCAGGACACAAAAGAACCCTCTCTGACCCACCAAGCCCACTACCTCATGGACCCCAGAATAAGGGCCCAATTCCTTGGGGTGAGTTTTGAAACGCAAAACAAAAGGGCAGGGGAAAACCTTTTGTGATGGATGATATATGAACTTTGGTTTCTTTTCACCTGGTGCTTGCTTTCCAATGATTGTAGCTTGATGCAGCGTCAGCTCAGATAAATCAGCAGTTCTATCTTCTGTCACTCTAGCTCCCAGGCTTCTGTATCTGAGTCTCACCTGAGAAACCTGAAAACGCTCCATGCTCCCCTGGGGCCCAATTTGGTCTCTGCTGCCTCCCTCTCTCTACCCCAGCTGCCCAGGCTGCCCTCACCCTGGCCCCTTCATCCGCTGCATCTCCTCTGCCTCTGCTTCCTCCCCCCTGCTGCTGTTCTGACCAGCTCATTGATGTAGGTGGCTCGTGATTTGGGACAGATAGAACTCAGTGAATCTATGTGGTTCTGATTCCCAGAAGAGCTGGTTTCCTTGGGCTCTATGCCAGATCTCTCCCATAAAGTGTTGGCACCTAGCTGGTGTTGTGTTGTCTTAATATGTTTCTGGGGTTTGTGATACTGTCTGTTCATACCCCAAGACCAATAGGGTCCCGTCCTTCTACCTGCAGAAGTTACATGGAAACAGCACAGGGTTTTTTTGTTTCTTTTTAACAGGATACTTTTCTGGCAGAAGCTTTTGCAACCTATTTACCAGACTACTTGAATGACTCCTCTTTTCAATAAACATTGCTCTATGCAGTCAACTTCTCCCTATGAATCCCAGTACCTATAAATCTCAGGCCCATGAAATTTACTAGTGTTGGTGGCAGGTATTCCATATATCTGTAATCATTTGAGCTGGAATCCAACGCTTACGTAGGGGGGTGCATACATTTCTTGTATCTTAAGAGTATCCTCTCTCTGTTCTAATGCAAACACAAAACTACTAGCCTAAAAGAATTGCAAGCCTGAAAACAGCAAATTGAGTTAAGTGTGGTAAATCATAGAGTACTCCTGCAGAATATGTGATTTAATCTAGGATTTAATAGGAAGAGAAATAAGGAGTCCAGTGAAAAGCAAAGTCCTTTTCTGTTTCTCAAAGGAACACAAATAATGACAAGTCTTTTTCAGTTCTCTACAGTTCAGATGTCTGGGCTAAGGAAAAAATGTTTCCTATGTTCTGGGGTCTGACAGCCCTCTGCTGTTTCAGAGGCAGTAAAGGCATTTGGAAGAGCTTGAACTTCAAAAATCTATAAAAAAGCCCAAATATTTAAGTCCAAAACAGCACCTAAAATGCTAGAATACAAGAATATAGAATATACTAGAATACAATCTGATGTCAGACTGTCGGGATGAAAAGTGTGGTAGGAGCAGATGCTAAGCTAGTGCCAACTATTCCTTAAAAACATTAGACAAAAGATAAAGGAAAAGAAGAAAGGAAAAGAAGAATACTGGAAAGATGCAGGTGTAGAGCTGAAGAACTGCATAGCAGTAAATACCTTTTCAAGGTAGGGCTGGAGAAGAACACTGCTTATTCTGTCTCTTTTCTGCTCTGCAATGCAGCCTAAGCTTCGGTGGGTGGAAGAGGGGTCTCTTCTCCCCTTTTTCCTTAGCAGAGATCTGTGCAAAAACTTGTTTCAAAGTCCGTTTGGATTTTAAGCAAGTAATAAGTTGTGTGTTTATAAAAGAGGGAGTTTCTTGTATCTGCCTTTGTGGTTTGGTTTAAAAGCATTGTCAGATGTTCGCTGCTTTCCCTTTCAGAAGCATTTTTCTGTGGTGTTACATTTCTTGTCATGTTGAATTTCCGCATTTGTTTTCTAATCTGTGCATTGATTGAGGTCTCAAGCAGAGCAATCCTTAGCTTATGTCTAAGCAAATTAAGTTACTATTCAAAGATATTCTAAAAATGTCATTTAGATTATTTTGAATTTCCATAGCAACCACAAGATATTTTTCCTTGTTTGATCCATAGGATCTACATGTGAAGGATTTGCTGTTTGGTTTACCTTTATTTTTCCCTTTTTCTCCCCATTTAAAATACAAACATATTTTTCACAAGGCTCAGCGTGAGCCTTCTCTGCTGTTTCATTTAGACTTCAATGCACTAAGAATGGCATCTAAGCAAATGTGTCATTCTTTTTCATGGGAAGTGTTTTGTGTTCTTGGATCATTAAATGTCACTTTACATCTATTTCAGTGACAAAATTTACTAATGGTTGTTGAAGTTGATTCTGAGATTTAGACATGCTATAATAGAAGTGGGAAGGGGGAGTGATATAGGCACTAAAAGTATAATTATACCTTGGGAATGGTGATGGTTAATGAAAAGGAAGCCTTCTGAAGGAGTCCAGGAGCACTTGGGTTTGGATTTTGCTGTCTTTTGACAGAATTGAGTATACCCAGGGTCTTCTCTTTACCACTGGTTAACATTCAGGTTGTGGTTACGCACCGACTTAGTTATTAAATCAGCAAAGACTATTCTTTACATAGGATGAAAGACTAATCCTTAGAAATAATGTTGTTTCGTGAATAAAATCAAATTCATGGTGGTTTGAAAAAGATGTGCCTCAGAATGCAAAATGCAAACATCTGTGATAAATTTATTTGGTAAAGGCCTGGAGTATCTCCTTCTATTCAGATAAAATTGAAACACTATATTCAAAACAAATGCCCTACAGCAGTAACTCAGCAATGTCATTCAATCTTCCCCTGCCAGCAGATGGGAGCTACCAGTGAGTTGGTTTAAACTGTGTCGTATGAAAGATCAAGTTGGATTATTACTGTCCCTGCTGGTTTTTGCCAGTTACAAAACTATTAGTGAATAATGATGTTTAATATCTCTAGACTTCTTGTATAGAGGATACTTGGACGAATGTGTACTTCACTTGAAGTTGCACCCTCTGGTGATTATATTTCAGTTATCCGAATGATAATTTTCTTTAAACTGTGCTTTTTCCACCTCAGGTAATGATTTGGGCCCACCTTCAACTAAGGCTGCAAACAAGTTTGAGGGGATGTCTCAGCAGTCAAGGTAAAATCTGTGTATACGAAGGCAAAGATGAAAATTTATCTAAAGATAACTAATTTATAAAGTAGAAAAGAAATTGCCTTTCACATGAAGTAAAATATGAGCTGTGTTTCTTCATTAGTTTTCTGCATGCCTTACTACCATGCAAATACTTTGGCTTCATTGAGCCTCCTACGCTTTGTTCATAGCTGTCCAGACACAATTCATCCTTTGAGAGGGATGGACGGAACAACTTGTACCAGAATCTATCCACTGCTCCTACAGAAGCACTCTCTGAGCTGGGGAATGCTGCCTCACACTGCAGCCCAGCAGGACAAAAGTTTTCTTTTCATGTGGCCTGCATTTCATTTTATGTGCTTCAGGGTGAGGTCTCACGCCTTCAGCTGCACAAGTGTCACTCTGGGAACAGGCTGCCATCGGAGACAGCTCTCTAAGAGAGAGAATTCATCTCAGTTGTCCAGCTTAACTGTTTGCCAGTCTGTCAAGCCTGTGTGCTGACACACACTGTGTAAGGCTGTAATAACACAAAGTGCTTTTAGCTCATAGTTCATCAGGTCACTACATTACAAGTGTCTTCTTCAATAGCTGCAGCAGTAATGATGACCACACGTCCCTGTCACTGGGTGTTTGCTACTCCTTTATCAGTGTTGTGATTCCAAAGTCCTGAGGTTCAAAGCATGGTGATTCTAATAGAGATGTGCCTCGGGGAATACAACAGAGACTGTGCATGACCACAGCGTGCGTGATGAGGCCGTGACTGGAGGTGGATGTGTAATGTCAAACAAATCACCCAACAAGATGTGTAGGCAGCGTTTCTGGACACTCCAGTCTGTGATCTGCCTTGTCGGGACAGGCGGGGGACGTGTTGGTGGTGGCACAGCTGACTTGCCATGTTGCCTGAATCCATCCAGGTGGCACTGGGTATTCAGGGAAAAAAAAGGGTGATGTTCCTGCAGCACAAAGAGCTGGTGCCATACTCGGTATTTGTAAGACAAGGGTAGAAGTGTGGTTCTCGTGTTTGATGGCATCAATGTTGTTTCATTTAGACTTCAGGTAATGATTACCTCAGTAATAAAGGCTGAGGTAATTATTGATTGAATCAAGATTGAGCTTGGCTGTTCTTTCAGTTTTGTGTCATGATATATTTTGATTACTTAAGAAAAGCCAGGAAATCAAAACTATTTCATCATGCTCATTTTGAAACGTTAGCTTCGGAGACAGGTAACACCAGAGTCAAGTCTGGTGCAGAAGACACTCTGCTCTCTTGAACATATTCTGGCAACGTCCTCTCTCATATTTCCTTTTCCTCGTTTTTTGAGGAATTATTTTGAGGTGACACTGATTTTTATGTGATTTTTTTTTTTTTTTTGTTTGATTTTTATGCCTTGAATCAATTGACTTTCTTCTTTTCTTCCACAGTCCTTTTCTATAAAAGTGACTTGAATGTGGTTTTAGTGGAAGAAATTTGGTGGGTTTTGTTTAGTATGTTTTGCCCTCACGTGCCATGTTTGTGGATTTGAGCCAGCCTGGTGTTAACTCTGAAAAACATTGCTTACAGCAGAAAGCTTGGATGGAAAGTTTTGGCAATGTGCAACTATCTCAGATTTTTATGTTGTAATATATTACTCACAGCTCCTGATTGTATTGTTGTTTACTACTATAAGTAGCTCATACAGCTGTAACACAGGTTGACAGAGTAAAGCCTGTTGTTTTCCCACAGTCATCAGTATTTCCTTGGAGTAGCAGAGGTTTTGTTTCCTGGTGTGGCTGCAGTTTGAGTGTCATACAGTATCATACTCATGCAGTAGGCTCAAGGCATAGGCTTAGTCCTGGGAAACTTCAAATCACTGACATAAAGGACAAATTGTTTTGAATGCTTCAGTATAATTATTTTAAAGACCAAGTTTTCCTTAAAGTTCTGGATCTGCCCACTCAGCTGGTCTTTCAGCTACACCTATTTTTAGAGTGAATTTTTGCACATTCCATAGTTTGTAGAATAAATTTGCCCTTTAGCATTAAAGCTGTGTGGGGTTTGTATGTCTTTTTCTCTGAAAAAGCAGTGTTTTGGGTATACTTTGTAACAGTAACAATTCACATCTGTTGATTCAGCACTGGGACAGCAAAGACTGCACTTGGCCCTAGAGTTCTTCCCAAACTACCTCAAAAAGGTAAGAGTTCTTTTTGTGGGTGTTCTCGTCGTGGTATCTTTTAAATGTGTGTGAATGTAGATACTTGTTGCAAATGTATGGAGTTTTCAGCAAAAGTTGTATTTCTAAAATGCCACAAACCACAAAAGCTTAGCAAAAAAACTGAGAGGATTTTTGAACATTGGGAAGGTTTGTACTAAACTAAAAGAATAATTAGATCTGTGGAAAATACATTAAAAAGTACCATAAAGTAACTGAAGCTGGAAGACACCTTAGGACTGGTCCAATCCAGCACTCGGAGCAGGACCAACTGTCTGACATGAGAGCAGGTTGCCAAGGCCGTGTCCAGTTGCATTTCAAGTATCTCCATGCATAACCTTTCTGGGCTTCAATTTCTATCTTTAACCACTCTTGTGGGTCAATTCTTTTTTCTTCCTAATATCCATAAGTCAAATTTCTTGATACCCTTGAAGCGAGCTATGTCCATTGCCATGGTTTGGTGATCAGGGTTGTATCAGGGTTGTTGTCCTTACAATAACTTTGGAAAGAATTGGGTCCTGTGACATGCTTGCTTGGTGACAAACTTGCTGAGCCCCTCATCCCAGTGAACACCTTATGGCCCTTTCTTTAAACCAATACAGCAAATTTTATCTAGTCACAGTAGTTGACTGCAAAGTTGAAAGCAGACCTACCTCATAGCTCTGTCTGATACAGAGTTCATCAAAAAGATCTATCTGTGCGAGTGGATCATCACTACAGAGCCTGAAGGTCAGGAAGTGATGCCTGCCCAGACTTCAGCAGCTGGATGGCTGAGAGTGCAAATCATTTTAACAGAAAAGGCAAATCTGAAATTTCAACTTTATGAAATTACAGTTGTTATGACCTGGTATCATCTTTTGAAAGAGACACCAATGGTGCAGTAGGGTATGACTGCAAAGGAAGACAGGACTTCCTTGATTTAAAATCATAGAGCTGAAAATTTAAGATGGCCTCAATCGAAGCACTTTAAGGGCTACTGTCATTTTTTTTAATCTCATTTACTTAAGCTTCAAACCAATGTGGATGATCAGTGTTTTACATTTGCTACTAGAGAAGTCTAAGAGACAAAGCCATACACATGTATCAACACGGGCGTTTTTTAGTATGAGGAATCTGATAGCAGCTGTACAATTTCATTCATGGGAATTATGCAGAGATTTGGAGGGTTTTGCTGTAAATAAACATAAATATAGCACGAAAGTGTTACTGCAGTAGGTGATATCCAAAGGGAGTGTTGTTGCCTTCAGGACACCTTTCTGGCTGGTAGAATATGATACTGAAGCGGTGCTGAACACAATAGGAAATTATTCCTTCCAGTCAAAATGCGTTTCTTTCATCATGGGCCATAACATTTTTCTCTCCTGTCCCACTTCATCTGTTTTGATGCAGGGTTGTGTGGTTTAAGGGTTTGTGGGGTTTTGTTGTTTTCTTATGGGCTTGTTTTTAAGGTTTCAGTCAAGTTTTCTCAAGGAACATAGCACTAGAATCAGCACATGACACTGAGAATATTTTCAATTTCCTTCCATAAAATCTGCAAAATACACTTTTTAAAATCTCATCTTTACTAAATTGTATTTGCAATAATTTATTACTAGTTTTAGTTCTGATGTCCATAATACATATTCTATAGACTGTATAGACACATACGTGCTCACTCACTGTCTTCTCTCAGATTTTACAGGTACTAATCCTGAGACTCAGGGGTTTTTGTGTGGAGTTCAACTGTATATATGAATAATTGTCATTAAAGAGAATTTTCATTGCAGTCATGTCAGTGGCTTATATTTAATACTGTCTGGTTTAGGTCCATTACAAGATCACTTTATTTCTGCTTAAGTAGTTAATCTATAAATTGACAACGTAGTAGCTGTTGGATTAAGCACTCATGGCCTCCAGGAGGAGCAATGAAATAAGTCCTCAGTAAAAGAGTGTTACATGAAGTCGTGTTCCCTTGGATTTGTCATAGACTAGGAGGACATATGGGCAGTTAACAGTGCTTGATGAACGTGTGGGCATTTACACAATTACAGTTTTGATATGTGCTTAAGTTCTTTAATATTAAAATGAGATTGTGAAAAACCATTGTTATGTTCTTCCGTTGTAGTGGCACTAAGGAAAATAGAAACCAGTCATCATCTTTCAATAGATAAATCCCATCAGCACGCGGAAATGTTTCAGAAGCCCTCACTTTCCATCGATATACCACAGAAACCACAGCCTGGAGACTTGCCCCCAAAGCCTCTGCCTCTGGAATTAACTCAGAAACCTCAAGTGGTAGATTTACCCCCAAAGCCTGGAGAACTACCCCCAAAGCCTCAGCTCGGAGACTTGCCACCAAAACCACAACTTGGAGACTTACCTCCAAAGCCGCAAATGAAGGACCTTCCTCCAAAACCTCAGCTAGGAGAGCTGTTGGCTAAAACCCAAGGTGGGGAAGCATCACCGAAGCCTCAGCCCTCAGAGGCAAATCAGAAATCTCACTCCTTAGATCTTTCTCCAAACGTACAATCTAGAGACACCGTCCAAAGGCAAGCATCTGAAGAGTCTAATGACATAACACACGCCCTGCCAGAAACCCCTGTGCCACTGCCCAGGAAAATTAATATGGTAGGTGTTATTCCAGCTTGTTGGAAGTATCCATGGGAGGTTTTGAAGTTACTGTAGGACTATCTGTGCTAAAAAAATTCCCCACCCTTGATCTATGCACACAAAGCAACGTAACATTATGGGCGAGGATGGGGAATGAGGAGCTCTCTTCAGCAAATGCTGGGGGTTTACACGGCCTTTTGCATGCAGAAACAAGTACTAGTAGCATAAAACGAAGGCCTTGGGAGCATGCCTGTGTTTAGATGTGTTAGGGAGCTTGGGCATTTTTACCTGTGCTGGTCATAATTCTGAATTGGTTGATGTTTCTGCTGTCTTTGCTCACTGTTCTCTATGCCTTAGATTACTCTAAATGTTTTATCTGCTTCCAGTGGGTGCTAACATCCCTTATTACAAAACCCAAATACTTAAATATTCCAGTAAAAGTAACTGTGACAAACTAGTAAACATACGTTCCTGTTGTATTTCATGTGATGTACTGAAGCAGTTAACAGAAGTTCAGCTATAATGCTGAAGTGTCAAAACTGACATTGCTGGATGGTGTGCAGTAGCAGAGCTGGAACTGTAACTCAGTTCCAAGTCTCCTTGTTCAACCCCCTATTCATCTGCCTGTTCATCTTGCTAACCAGTGCAATTTCCATCCAACAGAGGATTCTTCATGCATATGTATATTGAAGTAATTTTATGAAACTTCAGAGCAGCTCTCTTAAGATTTTTCATCATTAAGAATACATCAAAAAGGAGATGGTTTTGCTTGTCAAATTGGCTATGCAAAGCACTTAGGTAAAGGAAGTCAGACTTCCACTCTTTCAGCGAGAGTAGAGGGTGAGTTTCTCCCATGTGCTGGTCTGAGGATGAACGTTCTCTGGAGCCATCATTCTGCTCGGCTTCTATCATGGACTTGTCTGTAAGCCCCTGTTTGAACTGAGAATGAACAACAGGGTTGTTCCTTGGGCTTCCCGAGTGTTCTGGAGGTTAAGTGGAACAGTACAGGGATCTGATCAAAAGGTGTCTGCAACTACACCTTGTTTATTTATGTACTTTCAACTATAAGCAGGCAAATATTGCTGGACATTCTCAGCTATTTGTGACATTATTTAAGAGTACAGAAAGCAAATAGTGGATTAGTTGTTTCGGGGTTTTTTTTAGACTCTCGCCCTACCTGATAGAGACAGACTCTGAGTAAAGATTGTGTTCTCCAAATGCAGCCATTTCACTTGTGCAGGAAATGAAATAGTTCCGCTTTTTACACAGTGATCACAATTATGGTGTATCCATGAGAATTACTTTGCAGCTTTCCACACACTGCATGTACACTTCTTCCTTTTCTTGCTCACGTAATAATATGCAAGAATTCCTCTTCAATGTATCTTCCCTCCATTCTGGCTATATCCTCTCCATACAAACAGCTGAAATGAGCCAACAGTGCAGCAGCAAGACTCGGGCCAGCAGCCACTAATCCTTGTTGGTACTTCACTCTTGGCTTTGGCTATTTAACCACTGCATAGATGAGCACAAATTTTGGATTGGAAGTTTTATAAAATCAATTGTTCAGAATTTTTAGGTAGAAAAATACAAATGCTGTTAGTATCTAAGGACTTGGAAGGATGTTTTTGAAGAAATGAAAGTTGCTCCAAGTGCTTCTAAAATCACACTGAGCACTTGGGTGTTCTTTTGTGTGTTTGTTTTCTATAAAGGAGACAAAATCCTTCTTTTTAAACAAGAAACGTGTTGAATTTAAAGAAGAGAATGGAGGGATTATTAATGACCATAGAAGCATAGAATCATTTAGGTTGGAAAAGACCTTTAAAATCAAGTCCAGCTGTTAACCCAGCAGTGCCTTTGCCATTGCTGCTGTTTCAGACTAGCCCAAGGAGAGAAATTGATCAGTATTCAATCTTAAGCATAGATTCTCTTTTTAATAAGATATTGAATATAAGGAGTTGAGCGGGGGCAGGCATTTGTTTTATAGATGCAGATTACGTGTCCTGAAATTTCTCCTATTTCTTTACCGGCCAGTGCCCCAAACTGTGTTCTGGAAAACAGACACTCTCTTCAGAGCCATCCTTTTTTTAAATCTTCCCAAGATTAAATACATCTTGGGCTTGAATCCTGCTTTTTACCGCTCCTCTAAGTGAGAAGAATAGAGTGTGTCATCTGTGGTGCTAATCTGAAGGAACCAGGAGCAATTGCTGCCATTTTTCATGTGTTCTTACAAGCTGAGCTGCACAGTCCTCTGAGTTTAGAGGAATTTAACTTTCCGTAGTCTCTTTATTGACTAAGACTGTTTCGATCTGGCAGAAGTAGTCGCTTCCCTTCATCACGGGAGGGTTGATTGGAAGTGCTCATGTTTTGCAGAGGTTCTGTAGAGTTGAAAGCTGGGCCTGGCCCCAAATACTCATTCATATTGAATCCCAGGCCCTGGGGATAGTTGAGATTTTTGTTCAAATCACATGAATTTGTTTAAAAAAGAGAGAAAACATTCTTTGAAGTAACTTCTTGCTGCAGCAAACCCTTGCACTAAAAAACCCCTTTGATCTCATTGAACTTCACTTGAGCAATTCCTGTTAATTTGTCTTGAGTATGGGTTTTCTTAGTGTTACGTTGTTAACTGCTCTGTCCCTTAGAGCCCTCTCTAATTGTTATGTTTCTGTACCTTGAGCTGAATATGAGTGCTCTTTGCTGTGTGCCTGCTCTGCTGTTCATCTGCAGGGAATGGTTTATGCCAAAGCACAGAGGTATTTTGAGTGGGTAGGCAATTGCAGAGAGAAGGCTCGCTAGGAAATTTCCTCTGTGAAGTTAATCTTGGCTCAAATTCCTCTTAAACCTGCTGACTTTTTCCTTTGTAGCCCTTCTGCTTCTCATCACCTTGTGCTCTTCTTGGGTTGTTTTTTTGGCTTTCTTGTTATCTAACTAGTTGTGTTCAAAGAAGGAACTGTAGGTTTTGAAGACGTGTGGGTATGAAGAGACAGGAATATGAAGTAGCAGAAGTGTTTTGCTGTGAATAGTTTCCTTTCTCTATTTGGAAATAATTTAAAGCATTTTCCCTGCTGTGAGAAGCATATGTTCAAGGAGGAGTCCGTGGCTCAGGCTTTTTCGTATGAATTAGCAGGCTGCAGCAAAGTCTGACCTAGAAAAGACTTGGATTCAGAATGGTAGAGCTGTGAGAATATCTATTGTGAATTTTCATCACAAACCAGTACTGCCATCTTGAAACTAAGATTCTTTTCATAAGAAATGGCTAGCAGTGTGAATGAGAAATCACTCGGTGATTTCCAGTCCGATAAGGACACTGTAATTTTCCACTAGTTCCAAAACTATAAGGAGTACTGGTATTTCAGTGCAGCACTTCCCTCAGCCTTCACCTCTCTTGTAACCTTCAGAGGAGGCTGGATTTCATTTTCTGCTCATGGTGGGTTTCTTAAATGAAGTGTGTACTAAAGGAGAAAGAGGGCTTTGTGGACTGGAACAATGTAAAAACATCATTTCAACTTTCTTTACTGGAGGAAGCACAGGCTACTTAAGCCATGCACTACACGTTAAAGTCTCTTGGGAGTTCTGAATGCTAAGAAAAAGAAAACCTACATCTGTGTAGAGAGTTTTATTATTATTATTCTATTTTAATTTCATTGTTGGAACAGAGTTTTTTGTTTGATTTTTATGTCCCTGTTTGCAGGGACATTTTGTCATCTTCACCTTCTTGTAAAATAAAACATAACTAAAAGGCAAAAGTCAAAATTCATACTATATATACACGTTTTCACTGATCCTCATGTCCTTCATCTAAAACTTCATTCTATTTTTAGGGGAAAAACAAAGTTAGGCGAGTGAAGACCATTTATGACTGTCAGGCAGATAATGATGACGAGCTCACATTTGTTGAAGGAGAAGTAATTATTGTAACCGGTGAAGAGGACCAAGAGTGGTGGGTATGTATCTTTTCCTTTCATAGCCCCACAGAACTACTTTTTGACTTCTAAAGGAAAGCCCTTTTTCCCCAGATTTGGAGGGTCTGTTGTTATGTTGGTTAGTGGGTGGTGGGTTTTATTTTGCTGGGTTTTGGGACTGTTTTGCCTGAGCTAACATCGAGCACTTCAACTCCTGTTAGGAGTTTCTCTGGTAGGGTCTATCTCTTCCTGGGAGTCTGCTAGAACCATCCTGACTGGGTTTGGCTTCATTGCTGGCTCATAACACCACCTATTCATGTATGTCACTCTTAGTAATGCACACTAGCCTGCCCTTAAATGAAGAAGTGGTGATTTTTACTCCATTTAGCATGTTTACACCCCTCATGAAAAGTGAGATACATAATTACAGGTGTAATTATATAATGAGATACGTCGTCATCTTCAGTTCACCCGAAATGTTAAGTTGTACCTACAGGGGTTGCTGGAAGTCTGAAAAACCATTAGTAGTTGGTGCTGTGAGCTGTTGTTGTTCCTCCTTAAATGAGAGGTAGTTAATGTTTTCTTTCCTTTCTTCCCTCCCATGCCATTGGTTTGTATCCTACTCTTCCCTACTCTGTCTTGGTTCTTGAATGCTAACACCAGGGGCTTTTCAACCCCTCTTGAAGGCTCCAACCCTCCCTTGACACTTTACTTCTTGCCTCCAAAGCCCTGGCATATCATATTTCCCTACCTAACAATTACTATTGGTGAAAATGAGCCAGATTTCATCTTGATTAAAACAAATTCTTATCACAATGCTGCCTATGATTTCCTAATCCAAGCGCAGCACAACCTTTGCTGGTTTAGTTCTAGCTACGTAGTTTTCTCTCACTCCTGATTTAAGCGTAGATTTTTCAGCTGAAAAGGGCGTATCAAGAGAGTAATGCCCAGTGGAAAGCTCCTGTATTACCCAGTCCCTGATTAGAGCTGCATTCGTTGCTGAACCTGTTTTGTGAAGTGGCTTTTTAAAACCCTTGGGTACATGCCCAAAAACTTCATGTAGTGCTGCAGTCTGAGTGGTTCTGAGAAGGGAAACGAGGGCCGTTGACTCATATGCTTCACAAATTTGGCTCTACAAGAGGAAATGGCCAGCCCTGCATGTTTCCCCTTCCCATTTTGTTAGCTTGGGGAAGAGGAAGGAGGTACAGGGTTACTCTGAAAGCAGGGAGCAGCGCTGCAGCAGGAGAAGAGGGTTCTGCTCAGTCAGGACTGCTGCTCCAGTGCCGGATCAGTTTGACAGTTATTTATAATTCTCCATTTTAAACATGTAAAGTGCTATTATTACTGACTTTTTTTGGAAGTTGCTTGGCTATTGAAGCTGTACATGAAGGATATTTATCAGACCATACTGTGATAAATACTAATATGCCCATAAATCATTAGGAACACCACTAATTCAATGAGAAAATAGCTGGTCCTTTATCACTTCAAGTAAGTGAAGCATGCAGATTATCATAACTTCAAACCATAGCAGACATTTCCCTTTAGTGAGATGTTGAGGCTTTATTCAGTTAACGAAGATGAATGGTTTCAGAGATGTATATTTTGTTACTCAAACTCAATCAGACAAACGAAAATCAGGCTTCTGTTTTGGTGAGATTCCTGAAATCCAGTGATGTGTGTAGGTTTCCAAATAAAACTGTAGGTTTGTTCCCTTTAGATTTAGTTGGCTCAGTTTGTCTGAGAGATAATATGCTTGTATGGTTTTAGTTTGTTCCTTTAAACAACTGTGAACGTTAACTAAGGTCTGCTTTAAACCGTCCAAGGACTTGCAAAGGATCCGTGTGGTTCTGCTGCTTTTGAGTGATGTAAATGAAGTCTGTATGTATCTATGTACGTTTTTCTCCTGTGTTGCAGATTGGCCACATCGAAGGACAGCCAGAGAGGAAAGGGGTCTTTCCAGTGTCCTTTGTGCACATTCTGTCAGACTAGTAAAAACAAACAAACAAAAAACATCCTAAACTTGAGCATTGCACATTCTTCATGCAAGACGGGCTTTTTAGCAAAAGCGAACGCTGCTGCCTCCCTGTAATCCTGTGCACAATTGTATATATAGCTGCTGTTACAAATTAAGAATCCATTTAAGTTTTCACCTCATGAGGTTGAATTATATGTATTGTAAATATACTGTGTTATTCTGCCTTTGCCAGTATTATGGTAGCCTTGGAACCTGGCACGCCTTATTGGGTTCGTTGAAGCCATCCTCGGCATCTAGCACTTACATCTCTGTCTAGGAACTGCCAGCTTCCCAAACATAGGTGGTTTCCATCAACTGTACAGAAATGACTGTTCCTAATAACTCGGTATTCTCAATATACAATTAGCAGAAAGTTAGAATGAGTGAATGGTTTTGGAGACTCTAAAAACCAGTCTGCAGTTTATAAGTGTATGCAGTTTACAGCTATGAAACCCACTTCGGTATTTATTTAATATAGTGCTCAGTTCAGTGTAATTATGAAGACAAATATTCACTGACTTTACAGATAACAGTAATGTTTTACGGCGTGCACACAGCATTTCATGTTTCTATTACGTGGACCTATGCCAAACTGTGATTGCAGTTCCCCTGTGATATTACCTCACTATAAAAAGTTACCAATTTATTTCATTCGAAAACTTCTTTTAAGGAAAATGAGTCCTCTTGTTCTTTAGTAGATATATGTGAAATTTGCTGGTTTCTTTCACTGACTTCTTCGTAACCAAGGACTTCTAGAAAATGTTAACTGTTGACATTATGCATGCATTTAGACGCTTACTTGAAACCTGCCTTTGTACAAAAGTAGTACTGTAGTCATATAGCTACATTTGAGGAAAAGAACATTTTAACTTAATTGCTGTTCAGATCAATGTGAGCTTGCAACAGTATTTGTTTATAGCTGAATTGGCTCTTTGAAAAATGAGTTTGTGGGGTTTTATTTTCCTCTTGTCTTCAACCTTGCTAAAAGTTAGTGACCTAAAATAAAACTTCTTAAGTGGTGATATAAGGATAAATTTAAATTAAGTGCTCTAAAAAGTGGAAGTTAAGGTGACCTCTCATGCATTTGATCAGGCTTGTTAGTGATAGAACTCAGATCACAAGTGTCAGGCTGGTTTTAGTAGTGTTCACTGAACTGTAACTGTAATAGTCTTAACTCAAAGCACCAAGTAACTGTTCTAAAGCTAATTTCTAAGAAACTCTTTGGAAGGCTGCTTTGGAGCTGAGGTTTCTTGGAAGCTGGGATGAAACTGCATTGCCAGAAAACATGTACGTGTATTACTGGAAACTTTTTATTTCCTATGTCACTTTCAACACCATTTTTTTACCTTTTGAAGCATACCACAGTTGTGTTTTTCCCATGGTTTGTCTGTAGCAGGTTCCATGACTTTCACACCTAGTTTTGTGTTACTTGCTTTAAACGTTACTTTGGCTTCAGTACCTGGTACTGCTGTTTCAAAGCAGATTGTCTTGGCTGCATGGAAGGACTTTCATTTCATCAAAGCACACCTCAGGCTTTCTGAGGACTTCCATTTTTAAGTCACTTTTACAAGCCTGTAGTCAGTGAATATTTAATTCTGTTCATGGTTAATATAGAAACAAGTATCAGTCTAAACCCCACATGGAGAGAAACACAAAACAGTTATCAGTGGTCTTATCATTTATAACAAAAGTTTATTACAAGTAATAATAATCACGCCATGAGTGAGGAGCCTGCTGGCATCTAATCTTCAGTATTACCAGCTCCAGTATTTCAGACTTTATTCTGTTTTTTATGGAAAGGAAGTCAGGTTTAGCATTTATTTAGCATTCCATTTTATCCATTACTCCAATGTTTTAAGTTGCATTAAAGAACAAAACCTATTCACTTTTGTGGTCAGTTGTATTTTTAAGTGATCTTGAAATAAACTGATAGAAGCAAATCATATAACGAAAACCTAGGCATGTAAAATTATGTAGAGTCAAATGTCTATTCTTTTCTACGCTCTTTAAAATAGTATACATATGCATTTTATAAAATGAAATGAGTTCCATCGGGAACAATAGTTCTGTTTATTCTGGCTTCTTGTGGGTCATAAGAAATCTGAAAATGTATGATATTGATTGAGTTTAAGTACAGTATTATATTTGAACTCAATGAGCCACTGTCTGCAATTTTGTATATGACATAGTATCTGGAAAGTCTAAATCTTTATGGAAAATTAGCTGATAAAGGGTTGGGGGGAGGGCCAGGGGAAGGTGCCCCCAGAGGGGGAAGTTTGCTCTGCAGATGATGTCTTATTTACTGTTGAACAACAGTTGCTATTTATTTTTTTATTACATAGTACATCAACGTGTACAGAAATCAGATCTGGTCATGCCACTAGTTAAAATCTTGACTTCTCATTGAATGTTAAGGTAAAAAACATCAGTACACATGTCTATTCACATGTATTTAATGTGACAGTTTTTGAGTACTGTATGTGTTAATTTCTACTTTTTTAATATTTAAAATTGCTTTTAAATAAATGTATTCAGTTGATCCCAGATACCTGCACAAGGCCCTTTTGTCAACTGGAATATCTTCTAGGGAGAAAGTCTGGATTCCAAACAGGTAGAACTAAAACACTTGAAATGTTTTCTCTTGACTATAAAACACCCCTTATATAATGCAATTAAATGTGTATCTCTTTAACAGCTGTTAAATATGGATGCAATTGCCTTTATCTGGAAAACTTTACTTACTAAAGTTAGCATCAAAACACTTCTTTTGTCCATGAGTTTGGATTTGCTTTCTCTCTGGCTTCAGTAGGCAATACGGGAAGCCCGCCTGGTGTGTCCTGTTTCTTACAGCTGGCCCTTTGGGTTGGAAAGAATGGCTCAGCATGGCCCTCTGCCTGTATCCGGCCCTTCTTTGTCCATGGGCAGGATTACCAAACCCAACAGCAGCTCTGGAACCAACTCAGCAGGACTAACCTTACCTGGATGGAGTGACTTTATTGCTTAGAATTTCAGTCCCAAGCCAGCTCACTCCCTGACTGGGTTCTTGGAAGCTTCCCATTTAAGACCTATTCCTGTCAAAACTGCTCCAAAAAGAACAAGTCACTCGAAATTGCTAGAAAGCAATGAGAACATCCTTTAGCCAGAGGAAAAGCTGGAATATGAAGAGTTATCAGATCTGGTTTGTATCAAAAGTAGTAACCGCAGCAGCACAGGGCTCCGGAGAGCGCAGTGGTAAGAGCTTCTTGAACACTGACCTGTAGCACGGGCACAGCCTGGGCTCCTCACACAATATTCTGCTTGGTTAGTTTTAAATTTACCTCGGCTAAACAGCTGGGGCAAGGGGTGTGTGAAGTACGGACATGGGGCAGGGGAAGCAGTCTGGTTAGGTACTCTGCTCTTGCTCAGTTTCGCCCTTGTCACAGTATTTCAGCTATCAGCATTCAGAGATACGTTGATTCCAGTACGCTCAGTTCTCTGCCCTACTTGTACTCCTTGTTCTTCAATGACGTGTACTGATTCCCTTTTGCAAGTGAAAATTGAGGTGGATCTCTCATATACAGTTTGGAGCAGAAGGGACCAAGACAAGCACGTGCCCAGAGAGCTGCCTTGTTCAAAGCTTTTCTGCTACCCTCTTCCTGCAGACTGAAAGCTCGTAGTTGAAGACTCATTAGTCATCAAAAGCAGTGAAAGTGGTGCGGATCTTAAATACCAGTAAATGAAACTCAGAAATAGCTCCCGCTGCTCAACAAAAACCCACACTCCAACTCTATAAATAAGATTTGTTTTCAGATGCTTCCCCCCTCCCCAGACGAGTGTGACAGTTCACTTGAGTGTCAACAAAAAACTCTACTTTCCACACACTCTACCCTGTTAAATAGTTTCCTGCCATTCGCACCCTCAACCAGTAACTTTCCTATGCCGAGAAACCAGAATATGACAGAGGAGCAAACATCCCAAAGTAAATAAAGCTCAGCTTCAGCCCTTAAATTCTTATAGCTTACAAACTTAGCTTGGAGTTAAGGATGTTGCGGTGCTTTTAGGAGACACTTTAGGCCTTCTAAAACACAGCTGGAGGCTCTTCAGATGGACACAATGCACACAGAAGTGTAAGAAGTTTTCATCTTTATAGCTGCAAGCCAGATTTTCTTATCTAATATTAAGGATTTAAAGTTGTCTTAACGATAATTTAGGGCTATAAAGCCCATGATTTACAGCTCTGTCATCTGCTGAGAGGGTTCTCAAGTTTCTTCTTGAGATAAGCTAAGTGTCATTTGCCAACTTGTACTTAAGCTGACGCCCCCCGTGCTGCAGCGTGCACAAAACCTGTGAGTCTTGCCCAGTTCTCATCAGCTGCTGTTGGAGTGACACTAAAAACGATAGTGTGTCGTGGTACAGGCTTTGCCTTGTTCCCCTGCGAATTACAGAACAGATCCTCCTGCCTGCATGAGGCGGATGTGTGCTCTAGTCTCTCTCTGTAGTCGAGGGGGCAGGGGACAAACAATTCGTGACAGCTGCCACATCTGCTACCCGTGTCAGAGCAGAGGAGCTGGCCAGTTGTCTGCTCCACCACCTGAACAATGTTTGGAACAAGTTTTAAGCTTACCTGGAACTTTAAACCTGCAGTTCCTACCAGTGTGGTCTTGGTTCTCGTAGTGTCTGATCAGAAACATCCCCGCTGCTCGTGCTTGTTGCTTTTTGCTCGAGAGGAAGTGTGGGATTAGGTCTGTTCCCGCATGAGATGTTTTTCCCCAAAGCTTGAAGATGTTCCTTCTGCTTCGGTTACCACCAGAAATTTAGAAACCTGATTTTTCTCCCACTATGTCCCATGGTGGAGATGAATCGCCCTTGAACGTTCAGACTAAACTCCTCTAGAATGGCTTCCCTAGAGGTTGTTTCATGGTATCTACCTTTGTTCAGTTCAAAGCAATAGCATTAGGCTTGGTTTTTTGGTAACTAATGAATTCCCCATGGCTCTTCCCCAGGGAGTACTCCAGGAATAATTTAACTACAGCTGCCTGTGAACTTGCAAGAGTAAGGAGTTGTGCGCAATAGCTTGTTTGAAGCTGCTCTCAAACCTTTTAGTTTAGTTTAGTAAATGTTTTCTCAGCTCTCCCTGCTCCCACGTTTCTGCAAGGGTAGTAAGTGTCACCGTGCCTCTGAGCTGGAGTTCTTGGTCTTTAAATAAAAGTCAAAACCTTACCTATCAGAAGGGACTGCAACGTGCTCCTGAAGTTCAGACCGAGGAAAACCAAGCCCCCTCCTGAGCTGAACATGCACAGGAGAGGTCAGCGGCTGTTTGTTGGCCAAGCAGGGGTTTGTGAGGGTTTTCTGTTGGAGCCTGCAGCCTTCCTTAGTGACCTGGTGGCACCAGGAGCCACGCGCTGCTTCAGGCACACCTCAAAGGTGAAAGCAGACATTTTTTCACATAAGTAAAGATTATGCTGCCTGTAATCACCTGTCTGTATTGCAAGCCAACCCATCCGTGGCTTCACATGTACGACATGTCCCAACCTTACATTCATCACAGATTTTGAATTCAGAGCTGTAGGTCTGCTTTGTAGTATCGTAGAATCAACTGGGCTGGAAAAGACCTTTAAGGTCAGAGAGTCCAAGACAGCAAGAGCCCCAGTAGCTGAGCAGTGAGTGAGCTGCAGCCAGCCACATGCGCTTGTTTCAGCTGAGACTATAGTGTGAAAACCCACCAGGAGCTGGAAACCCCCCCCTGTGGGGCAGCTCCAGGACCACTGCAGTAGTTCTGACCTTTGCTGATAGAAGTGCAGGGACGAAGGGCACATTTGTGATCCAGGATGTTCCTCGGTCTCTATCCTCCATACAACCTCTGCAGAAAGAAACAGGAGGAGGAATGCTAACCCTGCCCTGATAGGGGTGCACGGAGCTGCTGGTCTCCTTGAAAGGGAAGTTTAGCAGCTTGGAGAGCTGGAGAGCAAGGAGCCTTGAGCTTCATGTGACAAGAACTTAGACTGAGTGATGCTCAAAGATGGGGACT